TGCTGCGTGTGCTCTTGTTGCTGAGCTCGTCGACTTTGCTGCTCGCTGTCGTCTAGACTACGCTGCTAGTCTTGTTGCTGAGTCTGCGTCTGTCTGTCCTCCGTCCGTCGAGGGTGAGTGTGCTCTTGGCACGGACGTCCTTGAGGACAGGCAAGAGGAGTTTCAGTGTCTGGCTGCTGCTTCACCTCATCTCGCGTCCGTACTGCTTACCCCTGAGGGAGACCCGGATGCACTAGACATCCCGACTCCGCGCTCTTACGCAGAGGCCGTAGAGGGTCCCTACTCCTCTCAGTGGCAGGCAGCTATGGATGCAGAGATGGCTTCCTGGAAGTCCACAGGCACCTACGTTGACGCGGTTCCCCCTCCTGGGGCGAACATCGTCAGTGGCATGTGGATCTTCAGGATGAAGTGGCCGCCGGGCTCTCCACCTGTCTTCAAGGCGCGTTACGTGGCTCGTGGCTTCAGTCAGCGGCAGGGAGTTGACTACTTTCAGACCTTCTCTCCCACCCCGAAGATGACCACTCTTCGGGTGCTGCTACACGTAGCCGCTCAGCGTGACTACGAGCTTCACTCCCTTGACTTCAGCACTGCTTTCCTGCAGGGTAGCCTGCACGAGGAGATCTGGTTGCGCCGTCCACCTGGCTTCACTGGGACTTTCCCTCCTGGCACCCAGTGGAGCCTCCGACGGCCAGTCTACGGTCTCCGCCAGGCACCGCGCGAGTGGCACGACACACTGAGGACTACACTTGCGGCTCTTGGGTTTCCTCCCTCTACTGCTGACTCGTCGCTATTTCTACGCACCAACACCTCTCTGCCGCCGTTCTACATCCTCGTGTACGTCGACGACTTGGTCTTTGCCACAGCTGACACTGCTGGACTCGCCCACGTGAAGTACGAGCTGCAGAAGAGACACACGTGCACAGACCTGGGTGAACTGCGCAACTACCTTGTCTTGCAGATCACCCGGGACAGAGCACGCCGCACCATTACCCTGACTCAGTCACACATGGTGCAGCAGGTCCTTCAGCGCTTCGGCTTCACGTACTCCTTGCCTCAGGCCACTCCTCTGTCTACTCGCCACTTGCTCTCAGCTCTGCCTTCGGATGAGTCCGTAGAGTCGAGTGGCCCGTACCCAGAGCTTGTTGGCTGCTTCATGTACGTGATGACCTGCATACGACCTGACCTTGCATACCCTCTTAGCATTCTTTCACGCTATGCTGCTCCTGGGAGACACCGACCAGAGCACATGGCTGCAGCGAAGAGGGTGTTGCGCTACTTGTGCAGTACGTCGGGCATGGGGCTAGTGCTTGGAGGGCGGAGTCCAGTGGTCCTCACTGGGCACGCGGACGCTTCTTGGGCAGACGACCAGGCTACGCAGCGGTCGTCACAGGGTTACACCTTCAGCCTTGGTTCCTGCTCTGTTTCGTGGCGGGCTACTCGCTCGTCTTCTGTTCTCGGCTCCAGTTGTGAGGCTGAGATCTACGCCGGGGCCATGGCTGCACAGGAGCTTCGCTGGCTTACCTACCTGGTGACTGACCTCGGAGAGCCGCCTCGTTCTTCTCCGGTGCTGTACGTAGACAACAAGGCCATGCTAGCCTTGTGTCGGGAGCAGCGCGTGGAGCACAGAACGAAGCACATTGCTCTCCGCTACTTTCTTGCTCGTGAGTTGCAGTAGCGTGGTCAGTTGCGACTTGCGTACGTGGCCTCTGAGGCCAACACTGCTGATATTTTCACCAAGGCACTTCCGCCTTGTGATCATCAGCGCTTCTGCACTCAGCTAGGTCTTGTGCCTGTTTTGCCTCACTTGCTCACCCCTTGACCTTGCTTGTACTCTTACATATATATATACCTGCTCTTGATTGTTTAGCCTTATTTATGTATGTGTACTTTTGCATGTGAACTGGCCTTGTGGCCTTTACCTTGTGCTCGGACTGCGTGGTGACGTTGTGATCCACACTGAGCTTTGTTTGCTTTGCCTGACTGGTGGTGTCCTTGCCTATGGGGGTGTGTCAAATTATAATATTGTGTAGGCTATAGTGGGGTAGCGTATATGGGGTACACATTTCTAGGGTTGCATATTTGTATCACTTCTATGCCTTAGTCATCCATTCTCGTTCTCATTTTCTCAAAATTATCCAGGTGTTCACCCTCGTCGTTTCGCACCTTCTGATACCCGCCGACTGGTACAACCCGCCATTCTACGTCAATATGTTCCGTCCATACATCCCAACCACCTGTCAACAGCCACAACACCGACCAACGTAAATGATTGCATTGGAGACCATATTCGAAGGTGAGAATTTTTCTGTGTAATTAGATTCAAGACCCCCACGGATCTAGGAGGATTGAATCTTTGCCCGCTTGAAGGATCGCACCCCAACGGAAGACAGCTGGGTGCTCCTGAGCAACATTAAAATACACCCTGCACTAAAGTACCTGCGAAGCCGGGGAGTACGTAGATGCGCTAACTTAGCGGAATGGCTTATTGGGGAGAGGGGGTAGAACACAGGTTCATTAATGCGCACCAACACAATGAGTGCCACACCAAATCGTTCATTGCCCGTTACAGCCTAACAGTGTCGCTATTTTGCATGTCAAACCACCTAGTGTTGGACTTGGCCGAGTCGGCCTACGCTTTGAGACTGGCCCGAGCCTCGTTGCCATCATCGCACTAACTAGCTCGCAAGCCTGCTCAACCATTTGCTTCTTCTTCTAAGTACAATCCTTGCTCATTTCATCAATTGCACTCGTAACACATAGCTTTGTTATTGACTAGTAATAACTTGTGACAACTCTTCAGGTGTCATAACAACTATTTCTGGAGCTCAACCAGCCACTTATAATGAAGGAAACCGCAACCCAGTGTGCGCCGCCGAATGTGGTGCTTCCCGACGCACTTGCACACACCGCCACCAACCGAGCAAAACTAGGTTTGTGCTCACTGCACAGCGCTCGTGACGAGGTTTATAGTTGGGGGAACGGTCAGCACTGCACTCAACAGCAGCAGCAGCAGCAGCAGCAGCAGCAGCATCCCAAAGAAGTGTGGTCAGTGGTCACTGTATTCATGGCACAGTCTGTGTTCATGCAGAACTGTATCCACGATGACGTACGCTTGGTACAGCTGGTGGTGACGAGTAACAGTACAGTTGGAAGAAACGAAACGCCACGCTCTCGGACCCACCAAACCATTCGTGTCCGTGTGGCGCTGTCTGCACCACAAGGAACAAGTGCGTTTCATGACGTGGTGGCTCGTGGTTTTGGAGGGCAATAGAAACACCTCTTAAAACGCACAGCACCGTTCTGTATGTACACATACTTCCACCAAATACTGTTTTGAAAGTTGTCCCATATCCGACGTGTCGTTAGTGTAGCGAGCTGCTGTTCCTTACCTGAAGCAACCAGTCACTGACTGCGCTACAGTACGGTTCGGTGGGAAGTCCATTCGCGGGTTACATCCTGACCGCTAGCACAAAATTGGTAGGGCAGGTGGTGGCATGGCGGAATTCGAGAACGGTTTCGTGAACGTCTGAGTAACCAGTCTCACACCGATGCCCGGCAAATGAAGCTGTCGCATGAGTGAGTGCGACATGTCGCCGAAGGGCGCCACTCTTCACGACCCAAATTGTGGGAGCCTGCGACAAACGAAGTAGCCTCTGTTTGAACTTCGGGCGAAGACCCAAGCAGCAGAACAGAAGCTTCAGTACGGAACGGAAGCCGTGTGAGACGGACAACACGACAGCCATTGGCTCTCATCAGGCTGCCAGAAGTGAACCTGCCGCTGAAATGACGGAGGCTCATGTCATGAGAGTGGGCTGTTCTGTCGAAGCATTCTCTTGAACTGAGAGCCAATGAGAGCGCTAGTACGGATTGATTCTAGGATTTCCTTTCTAAGAAAATAATTATGTTCGCGCTATTTGATCGCCTCGTCGCTACTCAGGCCGGCACCTATCGCGAGAGTGTGAGGAACGCACAGGTATACGTTTCGAGTCGGCCATGGCAAATACGGACAACGCGCTGTCGCAACTAAAGAAGTTCCACGTACCATTCTCAATACATTAGCTTCAATTACTGTTTGTGACTCGGTGATTGAACACGACTCCGTTCGGTAATTACTCCTGACAGCAAAATTTGATCAACATTATACACCACTAACTCGGTTCGATATTTATCATGGAATCCTACTCGGAGAAGCGGCACGCGTACAGACGACGGTATCTGCCTTGGTATTGCCGACCGATGCGGCTAAGCGAAGAGGACTTAGAGCTTGGGGAGATGGAGGAGGAGGAGAGGGAGGAGGAGGAGCGGCGGCGACACGAGGAGAAGTTACAGATGATCATGGCCGCGAAACCCGTCAAATGGACTACATACGCGATATTGGTCCGTTCCGTTTCCTGTGCAATTGGTCTCACAGAGCTCTCGCTTGATCATGAAACGCTAGAAATCTTAACGCGTCGTTCGCGATTGCATTTGCTCTTCACGCCAAGCCTCCCGCGTTCTAGTGCCACTTATTGCCACGCACAGCCGCTTCGTCTGGTGATTAGCTCAGTCAGCTTGAGAGTTCTTCGAAATGTCATTTTCTTTTGGAGGGATTCTGAAAATTACGCGCACGAGACCTAGGTCACTCAGCGATCGCGATCTCGAGTTCTGTGCCACGTCAGGTAACTGTCGCGCCGCGGCTCGAGACCGAGCCTGTCGTACTTAGAGGCGTCGTAGTAGCAGTCGCCGTCAGTCCGGAATGGGTCCAAGCACTGACGGGATGGCATGGCGTGGCGTCGCGTATAGCCATTGTAGTGACTCTCGGCGAGATTGGCGTCATTTTCTTATAAGAGGCAACGCAGCTCACCTAAGGTTCTCAGAATGACAGCGCGTCGGGCTTGGCGGTTACATATTTCGCCAAAGTAGACGATGTTTCGCACCTCGTGGTGTGCCCGTGCGGAGCGCGTAGAAGGGGTCGTCAGCGCGGCAAACGCCTTGCTGCCACGTGGCTTCTTACGTGCGTGATGTTCTCTAGGGTTTCACTAAAGCGCGACTCGTTTAGATTGTTCCAAGTTCAACCTTACATAGGAGATAATTCCAACCGTTCGCTTCCTTTTACTCTACTCCACCATCCCCCCTCGCCTCCCCGTCCCCCCGTCCCACCCTTGCGGTCCTTGCACGGACTCAAACCGTCCGCGCCACAGGCTGCAGCGTTTTCCGCGCTGGTGCTGCTGGCGGTGCTGTGCTGGGCGTTCATCTCCGCCATGCAGTCCCCGGACAACTCCCTCCCCCTCCACCTGCGCACACAACGCCTAGACGCCGCCGCGCTCGCCGTTCTCTCCATCCAACAGGTAACTGCACACAATATGCCTCCTAGCCTGGGACTTGGTTAACCGCCCTGCACTCCCTCCCCCTCCGCCTGTGCGCCCAACGCCCCGCTGCTCTCGCCGTTATTTGCTCAGCATGCCTCCTAGCCTGGGACCTGGGTAACCGTGTTCTGAGACGTCTCAAAACAGTATCCCTCGTAGCCCGAGACCGGGGTAGCCGCTCTTCCACTCCCTCCCCTTCCACCTGCGCATTCAACACCTCACCGTTCTCTCTATCCACCAAATGACAGACAAAAACCATAAGGTCATCAGCATAACCTTCTGGGTAATGCTCCTCTGCCATTCACATCCATAAAAGCCCCTCCCCCCCTCTCCGTTCTCTCTCCCCCTCCTCATCTCCCAACCCCGCCCTTCCACTCGTCGTCCCCTTGACCCCCCTTCCTCTAGAATCCTTCCTCTGTGTGCCCAATCAGTTCGTTGCCCTAATCGGGATCCCTTCCCCCCTTTGCTCATCCGCCCATCCATCCCCGGGCCCCAGTGTGCCTTCATTTCCTCCCTTTCTCCCTTTCCTTCGTTTCCCCCCTCTCCTCCCGTTTTCCCCACTTTCCCCCCCTTCCCCCCCATCTCCCTGCTCCTGCCTTCCCGCATTCAACAGAGGTTGCAATACGCGGCAGTGGCGCAGGCAATGGCGCTGACGTCAGCGCTGAACGCCGTGACCAGAAGCAACGTCAGCACTGGTGGCACACAGAGCAGCAGAAACAACCTAACAAGCATTCTAGCACACGCCCAGGAGGTGCGAACTACGTTACTGCCATAACCTCATTGTGGACAACATTATCTTTTGAATTCCCAGTATCCCTCCTCCACCTCCCCCACACAGTCCAATTCGAAACCACCCCTCCTCTCCTTCCCCCTCCCCCACCTCCCCACAAATCCCTTTCTGCTCTCCCTACACACATGGCTTTCTCCCACGAGAGTTCCTGCTCCATCTTATCTTCACCGTTCGTTCCCTTCCACGCACCTTATCTCATCTCTGGAACTCCGTCCAGTTCTTTCTCTCACCATATTTCCCCATCGTCCCCTCTACCACCACCATCTCCATGCCCCTCCCTCCCGCTCCCACCCAACCGCTCCTCCGTCCCCTCTCCCCTTACCACTGCAGGCCCTGCTGGTCACGTCCTTCCCCTTCATTCGGCCTGATCCGTCTCTCCACATCGCCACATTCGTTGCCCCAGACAGCTCTCTTACCGGCTACCTGCGCCCCTCGCTAGGTCCCTCTCACAGTAGCGAAAGCAGCAGTAGTGATAAAGATAGAGGCAGCAGTATGGGCAACATTGACAGCAGCAACAGCCTCGTTGCTGCTCCTCTGTACCGCATCCGATCGCCAATCAACCTGCCCCTCGCTCCTCCAGATGCTGCTGTAGGAACCAGCCCAGGCCTTGGGGCGGAACGGAGCTTGGGAAGCAGCAACAGCAACGGCAACAGTAACCGCAACAGCAACCGGCCAACTGTGACTGTCTCTGACCCCACACTTACCCTCTCCAACGCCCCGTCTGGGGTGCCTTCGAGACGGCTTGCTGTCTCGTCTGCCATCTCCACCGCACCGCACCATTCCGAGTTTCATAGACCGCAAGGGGCGAGAAACTCTGCTGGTAGTAAGGTACCAGGCAATGCTGCAGCAGAGCAGCAGACCAGTGCTGCATCGGCTGCTGCTGCTGCTGCTGCTGTCTCAACCCAGAGTAGAGGCACCGTACGCAGCAGCCACAGCAGCAGATCCAGCTTTATCCCAAGCTCGGGCCCAGCCTCAGTTTCAGCCTCGGTAGCAGCAGTAACAGTAGCAGCAGCCACCGTCCCACCTTCTCCTTGCACACTTTTACCTTACATTCTAGAGGGGACTTTTCTAAACGGATCATTAGTGAATCAGTCTGCAGTGAGTACGGCCATGCTGCCTGACCTGCGCACTGTACCAGGCTACAGTGCCTCTCTCTCGCTACAATCAGGCTCCTTCATAGACACATTCAATACAGCACTCCCTGCTGATTGCCCGCCCTCAGATAAAGCTCTCCCTCCTGAGTGGCCTTTGGCCTTTTTAGCAGCGCTCTCTCCCGTTTTTCTGGGTGGTAGTGCCAGCTCAGCAAGTGCCACGTCAGTGGGTGCTAGCCTGGCAGCTGTATCCCTTGCTGACGTGGCAGCAGCATGGGCTGGCATCAGCATCAACTCTGGCAGCAGGCCAGCCAGTCCTGAAGAAACCCAGAAGCTTCCTTCGCGTCTGCTGCTTGTTTCAGCCACTGGAGGGCTTTTGCTGTCCTCTTCTGGCGCAGCGGGTGGGCCCTTAGCACCCAATGATGTCATAGTGACGTCAGCAATGTCTGCGTTAGGGTTAGGCAAACCTGCTGAGTCAGCAGTGCCTGTGGTGGAAGCAGCTCCGGTTAACACGTCAGCAGCAGCGTTCGGCAGCGTAATGAGATCGTTACAGACAAATATCGCCGGCCAGGAGTACTACGTTGACTCTCTTCCTCTTGTCTTCAGCACTGCTGCCAATTACGTGAGTCCACCACATGCCCTGGAGCTCTCTCCCTCCGCCCCGCCTCCCCTTCAATCCTTTTCCGCATGCATCTGCTCTCCCTCGCCACTCCTCTCTCTACCCCGTTACATCTAAACTGTCGTGTGCACCTCGCGTCCCTCTCACCCTCCCCTCCCCCACTCGCCTCCCCCGCTCTCCCCTTGCAGATCATTGTGTATGCATCAGCAGTGGCCCTGTATGAGACATCACCCCCAACCTCCACCAGTGTCTCATCCCCCACCCCTCCCCACCGTTCCCCATCCCTCCCCATCCCTCCCCATCCCTCCCCTCCCTCTGGGCAGACCATCGTGTATGCATCAGCAGTGACCCTGTACGAGACACCCCCCCCAACCTCCACAAAAATCGCCTCCCTCGTGCTGCTGCTGCTCTCCCTCGCTGCTCTGCTCGCCTGCGCGGTGCTGCTCGTCTCCGCCGTTTGCAGGCGCAGCGGCAACGTGTCTTTTCTGCAGGTTAGTGTCTAGATGGATAGGTGTGAATAGGGGTGAAGTGGGGTGCAGTGGGATGAAGTGGGGTGAAGTTGGGTGGAGTGGGGTGGAGTGGGGTGGAGTGGGGTGGAGTGGGGTGAAGTGGGGTGGAGTGGGGTGGAGTGGGGTGAAGTGGACAATTGAAGGTCAGGCTTCTATGCTGCTCTCCCTTGCTGCTCTCCCTTGCTGCTCTGCTCGCCTGCGTGCTGCTTCTGGCCTTAGCTGTTTGCACGCGCAGCAGCAACATTGCTTTCCTGCAGGTAGGTATCTATCAACATGGGGGGAAAAGGTGAAGAGGGGTGAATAGGGTTGAAGAGGGGTGAAGTGGTAATGAAGAGGTAAAGATGAGGACTAGTTCCCATGAAGGTCAGGCCTCTCTGCTGCTCTCCCTCTCGGCTCTCTTCTCCTGCGCGCTGCCGCTCGTCAATTACCTTTTCTCTCGTGCCTTGCATCTCATTCCCTCTCTTCCACGCCCTTCCCCCCACGCCCTCTCCTCTGTGGTGCGATGGCAGGACGAGGTGCAGAGGCAGATGATGCTCACCAAGAGGGCAGAAACTTAGGGCTCCTAAAAGATTATCCCACACCCTCTCTCTCCCATACCCCCTCCTCTGTGGTTTGGTTGCAGGATGAGGTGCAGAGGCAGATGATGCTCACCAAGAGGGCAGAAACGAGGTCCCAGACCAAGGTAACGGTGATGGGTGGTGGTGATGGGTGGTGGTGGTGATGGGTGGTGGTGATGGGTGGTGGTGATGGGTGGTGGGGATGTACGGTGGTGATGGACGGTGGCAACAGACAGTTGTGGGGATGGTAACGAGATGTCTCAGGTAGCACTCATGCTCCTGATTGTAGCATTCGTGTTGGCTTAATCTGTGCCTGCTGGGCTGCTGCTATTTCATCCCTCAGCTCAGTCCCCCTGCCCCTAAACCTTCTCTCCCCCTTGTTTCCTCCCCTCAGAGCGCCTTCCTAACCAGCCGAGTCACGAGCTGCGCACACCCATGGCGAGCATCCTGGGGCTGCTGGACCTGGTGCTTGCTTTGTTTGCTCTGTGCCGGATTCACTGCTGCTCTCTCATCCCTCTGTGCCTCTGCCCCTCTCTCCCTCCACGTCCCCTGTGCCCTCCTTACCCCTTTCCCCTCCCCGCTCAGAGCGCCTTCCTAGCCAGCATGAGTCACGAGCTGCGCACACCCATGGCGGTCATCCTGGGGCTGCTGGACCTGGTGCTTGGACTCACTCCCCTCCTCACCCACCCCAATCCCTCTCCACCCCACTGCCCACGCTATATCCTCAGAGCGCCTTCCTAGCCAGCATGAGCCACGAGCTGCGCACACCCATGGCGGCCATCCTGGGCCTGCTGGACCTGGTGCTGTGCGAGGACCTGCTGCCCGAGGTGCATGTGAACGTGCAGCAGATCAAACTGGCGGCCACGGCCCTGCTAGGCCTGCTCAACTCGATTCTCGATCTTAGCAAGGTCAGTGTGCCTGCGCTGTAGGGTCTGTAACAACAAGAAAGTAGCGCGTGTATGTGCACCTGGTGTTGTGTGAAGACCTGCTGCCCGAGGTGCATGTGTGCGTGCTTGCGTGCGTGCGACAGCGTGCGTGCGTGCGTGCGGGTGTGTGTGTGCGTGGGTGCGCGCGTGTTAAATAATTCCCAAACCAACCTTCTGTGTGTGTGTGCACTATGTTGGTGTACGGGATGGAGTACGAGCAGGTGGAAGCAGGCAAGCTGGTGCTGGAGTGAGTTGTTGTCCGTGTGTCAAGGCATATCAATGACTCAGTCCGTGGGGGTGTACACTGTGTGTGTGGTGCACGTGCATGCATGTAGGTGGAAGCAGGCAAGCTGGTGCTGGAGTGTGTCGACTTTGACATCCGCAAAGACCTCGAACTTATCGTGGAGATATTTTCCGTGCAGGTGAGATAATATTGGCAAGTGTGACTCAATAATATCAGACGCGTAGGTTGAAATTATACGCGTTTGAAGATAATGCTACAGGGAATGGTGCACAAGCGCTGGTCACGGTCTGCCATCTGAGAGTGTTACTGCATACTTGCCTTTCCAGATTAGTAAAAATAGTTCGCTCTTAGTAGGCTTGCTGCGGATCAAAACCAAGTAGTTTCAGCTATCTGAGAGTGTCCCTGCATACTCGTTCTTCGCTTCAGTATCACTCCGTTGACACACACACGCTCCCCCTACCCCTCCCCCTCCCCCTCCGTCCCCCCTCCCCCTCTTCCCCTCTTTTCTCCCCAGGCTTTAACGAAAGGCACGGAGATCTCTCTAGACCTTTCAGATGATTTAACCCGCATGGTGCGGGGCGACCCGCACCGCGTGCGGCAGGTGTTCAACAACCTGCTCTCCAACTCCATCAAGTTCACCCCCAATGGCCACATCGTCATCCGCGCCTGGAACCGCGCTGCTCATGGTCAGCAGCACGGGCAGCATGGGCAGCAGTACGGGCAGCAGCAGCAGCATGGGCAGTTGCAGGGGCAGCAGCACGGGCAGTTGGGATGGGCGGAAGGGGAGCGGGTGGCGCTGCAAGGGGGAGGGTCAGGGGCGATGGAGGGGAGTCAGCACGGGGGAGGGGAACCGGGCGGGGGGGAGGAGAAGGAGAGGGGGAAGGGGAAGGTGGAGCTGGTGTTTGAGCTGGAGGATACGGGGTGTGGTGTGCCCAAGGACAAGAGGGAGGCGATCTTTGAGACGTACGGGCAGGCAGACCAGGCGCATGGGCGGATCGGCACGGGGCTGGGACTGGCCATCGTGCGATCACTGGTGAGGCCTGGGCTAGGGTTCAGAGTTTGGCGTTAGGGTATGGCATTAGGGTATGGCGTTAGGGTTTGGCGTTAGGGTTTGGCGTTAGGGTTTGGCGTTAGGGTTTGGCGTTAGGGTTTGGCGTTAGGGTTTGGTGTTGGAGAGTGGTGTTGGAGAGTGGTGTTGGAGAGTGGTGTTGGAGAGTGGTGTTGGAGAGTGGTGTTGGAGAGTGGTGTTGGAGAGTGGTGTTGGAGAGTGGTGTTGGAGAGTGGTGTTGGAGAGTGGTGTTGGAGAGTGGTGTTGGAGAGTGGTGTTGGAGAGTGGTGTTGGAGAGTGGTGTTGGAGAGTGGTGTTGGAGAGTGGTGTTGGAGAGTGGTGTTGGAGAGTGGTGTTGGAGAGTGGTGTTGGAGAGTGGTGTTGGAGAGTGGTGTTGGAGAGTGGTGTTGGAGAGTGGTGTTGGAGAGTGGTGTTGGAGAGTGGTGTTGGAGAGTGGTGTTGGAGAGTGGTGTTGGAGAGTGGTGTTGGAGAGTGGTGTTGGAGAGTGGTGTTGGAGAGTGGTGTTGGAGAGTGGTGTTGGAGAGTGGTGTTGGAGAGTGGTGTTGGAGAGTGGTGTTGGAGAGTGGTGTTGGAGAGTAGTGTTGGAGAGTGGTGTTGGAGAGTGGTGTTGGAGAGTGGTGTTGGAGAGTGGTGTTTGGGTCTGGTGTTTGCATGGGGGAAGGGGAAGGCACACTGACAGGTTGGCACGGGCCTGGGGGCTGGTGCAATCTGTCAGTTAAATTCAACCTAGCCCCCACCTCCCTCATTTTTCTCTTGTTCCCCTGCCCTCCCCCTCGCAGGTGGAGATGATGGGGGGCAAGATAGCCGTAGTCGACAAACCCATTGTCGGCCCCGGGTCACTCTTCCGCTCCAACCTCTCGCTCTCCCCTGCCTCTCTCCCGTCTCCCTCCCTTCTTCCCTCCGTCTCTGTCCTGTCTCCCTCTCTCCTCGCAGGTGGAGATGATGGGGGGCAAGATAGCCGTAGTGGACAAGCCCACGGCCGGTCCAGGCTCTCTGTTCCGCTTCAACCTCTCGCTGGACTGCCCCGACCCCGCAGCAGCAGCCGTGCGCGTGGGGGGCGAGGCGGAGGAACAGGAGAAGGAGAGCTGGCGGCTGGAGGCGCCTCTGATGCGCGCGCTGTGGGACGGGGACGTGCTGCTGGTGATGGGCGCGTGCCCGGGGAGGGAGGTGGCGGGGAAGTGGTTAAGGCAGCGAGGGCTGACGGTGGTGGAGGTGGGCGCGTGGGAAGAAATGGTCGACCGCATTCGCCAGGTGGGTGGGTGGGCGGGTGGGTGGTTTGAGTTTGCGCTGGTGTGTGGGTGTTGCTGGGATGGGGTGTGCATGGGGTAACCGTGCTGGGGTTGATTTTTTAGGCGCCTCAATAACCGTGCTGGGGTTGATTTTTTAGGCGCCTCAATAACCGTGCTGGGGTTGATTGTTTAGGCGCCTCAATAACCGTGCTGGGGTTGATTTTTTAGGCGCCTCAATAGCCGTGCTGGGGTTGATTTTTTAGGCGCCTCAATAACCGTGCTGGGGTCAATTTTTGAGGCGCCTCAATAACCGTGCTGGGGTTGAGGCAGAGAGGGTGAACTGTGGTGGAGGTGGGCGCGTGGGAGGAGATGGTCGACCGCATTCGCCAGATGGGTACACAGAAACAGTCCTCTTGTCCCGGACATCCTTCTTTGTGGACATTTGACCCTCGTCTCCTCTTTCCTTTCAGGTATCTATAAAGAAAGACCATATTTTCTTGTTCCAACCCTCCTGCCCTGCTTTCCCTGCCTCCCTCTCGCTTCTCACCACACCCGTTTCCCTCCTCTCCCAACGCAGGTAGCAACAGCAGCGGAGGAGAAGGCAAGGGCAACGGAGGCAGCATACAAGCGCATGCGGATGGACAACCCGTTGCGTTCCATCCCCTATTATTTCCCCTCCCCTTCCCCTTGTCCCAACTTCCCCCTCTCCCCCTCTCGCCTGCCTTCCTCCCCCAATGCAGGTAGCAACAGCAGCGGAGGAGAAGGCAAGGGCAACGGAGGCAGCATACGAGCGCATGAGGATGGACGACCCGTTGCTGCTCCTCCCATCCTTCCCCAACGCCAACCCTAACCCTAACCCTAATTCTGACTCCACTGCCGCCCAGCCCCTAAGCTCTGCCGATGCTTTTGCCGCCCTGCAAAGGTTCGGAGATCCGCCAGCAGCGGCAGCAGGTTCGGGAGAAGCAGGGAAGGAAGGTTCGGGACCAGGTTCGGCGGCGCCCTGGCTGAGGGTTGGGGGTCTGGGGGCAGGGGGAGGGGGAGGGGGAGGAGGGTTGGGAGGGGGGCTGCGCAGGCAAACCAGTCTGGGGGTGGCTCTCGGGGGAGGGGGGGGATTAGGGGGAGCGTTGGGGGGAGGTTTGGGGGGAGGAGGGGTGGATCTGGAAAGCTTTAAGAAGGGTATCCTGTCGCTGGGCCTCAGGGACGCTGGTGGCAGTGCTGGGTCTCTGCTCTCGGCAGGTAGTGGGGGAGGTGGAACTGGGGGAGGTGGAGGAGGAGGGGGAGGAGGAGCGGGGGGAGCGGGAGGGAGTGGTGATGGCATGAGGAATGGGTTCGGGAGTGAGATATCAGGAGCAGGGGTGGAGGCAGGGGGGAGGATACCTGGAGTGGCTTCTGTAGAGGCAGCAGCAGGAGGAGGAGCAACAGCAACAGGTGAGGCAACAGCAGGAGGAGGAGCAGCGGGGGAGAAGGGCAGCAGCAGCAGTAGTGTGAGTGGGATCCGCAGTGCAGGCAGCTCTCCTCTGCGGTTAGCGCGCATAGCCAGTGTGAGCAGCGGGCACAGGCGACAGAGCAGCCTGGAGCGAATCGGAGCACTCTTTGGCGGCGCAGGGGGGGGACCAGGGGGCGGGGGAGAAAAAGATGCAGGAGGGGTAGGGGTGGCTGGATGGGAGGCGCCTGGTAAGAGTGGTTTAGCCAAGGAAGGGATGGGAGGTGGAGGGGCAGAAGGGGGAGCAGGAGGGGGAGCAGGAGGGGGAGCAGGAGGGGGAGCAGGAGGGGGGCCAGGAGGGTGGCCAAGGGGAGGATTGGAAAGATCAGGGAGTTTGCAGTCTGATAAGAAGGTTCTAGGAGGGGGAGGAGCAGCAGGGGGCGGTGCTGGTGGTGGGCTGTGGAAGCAAGGAAGCCTGACTCTTGGGAAGGTGTTTCGGCGGGGCAGTGGGGGCAGTGATGCGAGCTCTGGTGGGGCTGGTGGGGGTGTGGGCAGCAGCGGCGGCAGCGGGAGTAGTAGCAGCACGAGCGTGTGGCGGCAGAGCAGCATGGAAGGGCTTTTCTCGAATGCGTTTTCGGCCGGAATGCGCAACGACCGGAAAAGCAGCGGGTTTTCGAGCAAGAACAGCGACGGCGAGGATATCAGCAATCACGGAAATAATACTAATAATGGTGATAATAATAGTAATCATGGGCAAAAACAGGCTACTGTAGCACTCGTGGTAGTGGATACGTGTATGCTTCCGGGTCTGACGTTACCGTTACCGTCAGACAACAAGCAGCCTGGTGATTGGTCGGCTCAGAACCCGCCGCCCCTGCCGTCGTCTGCTGCTGCTGCTGCCGCTGCCACTGCTGCTTCGGCAGCAGCAGGGCAGGCAGAGGCTCTAGGCACAGCCGCTGCTGCAACTACAGGGGCGGGAGGGGTGGGCAGCGGAGGAGGAGCAGGGGGGGGGAGCGGAGCAGGTGGAACAGCGGCAGGGGGAGCAGCAGGGGCGGGGGGAGGGGCAGGGGCAGGAGCAGAGGCGGACCTAGGTCCTCTGAACGAGCTGCTAGGGCTACTGGAGATCTGCAGGGCGGGTGGGGGCAACAGCTCTCTGCCTGTCATGTGGTTGGTTGCTGCTAACACGCCTGCCTCGGTGCGTGAGCGGTTGAGAGCGGCCGGGTGCGATACTATTGTGTCGAAGCCCCTGCATCCGACTAGGATGGAGCAGCTGTTGAATCTGGCTATGGATATCAAGTATGGGATTGGGGGGAATGCGGAGGGGGGGGTGGGAGGGGAGCGAGGGGGTGAGGAAGGGGAGGAGAGAGGTGGGGATGGGGAGGGAGAGGGGGATGGTGGGGGAGGTGAGGGAGGTGGAGGAGGAGGGGTGTGGGGGGTTCTGGACGAGTTGGGGAAGGAGAAAGGGAGAGAGAGAGGGAGGGAGAAGGGAGGGAAGGGAGGAGGGAAGGAAGGGAAGGAGGGGAAGGGGCGCAAGAGTATAAATGTGAATGTGAGGATTCAGAGGTGTTTGAGTGCAGTGGATGAGGAGTTGAGTCATGCAGACGAGATGAGTAATGGGGATGAGTCCTGCCTCACCACCCCTGTTGGGAGTTCTGAGTTTGACCTCACTACCCCGAGGTCTGGTGATGGGGCGTGGGAAGGGAGAGAGGGAAGGGACAGGAGGGATGGTAGAGACAGGAGGGAGGAGATGGGAGGGAGGGTAGGAAGAAGTGGGGAAGGGGCGAGGGAGCAGAGGGATGATGAGAGTGATGGTGACGATGGGGAAAGAGGAGAAAGAGGGGATAGATGGGAGAGAGGGGAGCGAGGAGAAAGAAGAGAAGGAGGGGAGAGAGCGGAAAGAGTGGAGAGGAGAGAAAGAGGGGAGAGAGGGGAAAGAGCAGAAAGAGGAGAGAGAAGGGATGGCCAATATCGTTCGCAAAGGAGGAAGGAGGGTTCTGAGAGTGGTGATAGCGACAGATACGGCGAGGGAGCAGGGGACTCACGAGGGGCAGGAGGGGCAATCACACCCAGAACGCCCCGAAACCTTCTTGTGCCGTTCCCTCGCTCGGAATCCCGGGGGTCTCAAGACGGGAGCAAAGCGGGCGGGCAGGAGGAGCACAGACGCAGTTCTTTCCGAAAAGACTCGGTGGCTTCACTCTCACTCATCTCGCCTCACTCCCCCTCGTCTCTCTCCTCCTCCTCTTCTCCCTCCATGGATCGCTCTGCTAGTGGACGGCTCTTGCCGGCCATTGACTCGCTCTTCTCCCCTCGCAAACACTCGCAGTCGCATCGTGCCTCCGCCTCCTCGTCCTCTTCGTCTCGTGCCAAGCGTAGTGGCAGCGGCAGTGGCAGCAGAAGCAGGGAGAGGAGCGGAGGGGGTGCAAGTGCGTCGGCTGCATCGGCCCACCAGAAGGCTGTTTTGGGCCCGGCGTCAGCTCTGGCAGGTGCGGGGGTGTGTGCATGAGTGTGTGAGTGAGTGAGTGCTTGAGTAAGTGCGTGAGCGTGTGCGGGCGGGCACAGGCATGCATGTGTCACTGTGTGTGCAGGTATGTGTACAATTTTCCATGCTTTTCTGTCTGTTTCCGTGGCCATGCATGCCCATCTGTCTGTATAAAATCCAGGATCTTACTAACCAACTGGCACTCAATGTGCAAAGCCATACCTCATACACAAACTCCCCACCCCCGGCCCATCCCACCACCCCCGCCAGGTGTGCACATCCTATTGGCCGAGGACGTGGCGATGCTGCAGCGGGTGGCGGTGCTGATGCTGAAGAAGATGGGCGCGACGGTGGTGGCGGTGAGCAACGGTCAGGAGGCGTTGGATGCGGTGACAAGGCAGATTCGAGGGGAGGTGGACGGGGGAGAGGCGTTTGACCTCGTGCTTATGGACTGCCAGGTGCGTGTGTGTTGGGGGGAGGTCGTAGGAGGAGAAGGGAGGGTCAGAGGGACTGCTGGACTGCCAGAGAGAGGAGGGGGGGAGGGAGGGGGAGAAGGGTGGGGATAGAGGGACTGCCAGAGGCGTTTGAACTTTGACCACGTTCTCATTGACTGCCAAATGCGTGGAGACTGGGAGAGATAGGGCAGGCACTTTGGGGGGAAGGGAGGGGGGATATGGACTGCCTGATGTGTGTGGGTGGGTGGGGGGTGGGTGGGAAGGAGAGAGAAAAGAGGATCGGATAGAAGGGGAGTGATGGGAAGGGAAAGGAGGCAATTGTTGGTGGCAGTAATGATGGTGGTGGAAGGATGTGAGAAGTGGCAGGTGGTGAATGTTTCTGGCTGGAAAGGGTTAGGGCGTGGAAAATCGCCAAAAAACTCAATTCGGCCAGATGGCCGTTGCGAAAGTAACCAGTTACCGAGCTTCGCAAATTTTGACCATGCAATTTGTTTGGTTGCGGAACCGTCAGCGGAGCTCGTGAAAGGGTTCGTCCAATTCGGCCACCTGGCCGAATTGAGTGTCCGGGCGATTTTCCATGCCCTTACCTTTCATTCCTGGTCGGGTCGTGTGCGTCGCTGTGTGTGTGCTCGTGGACATCACACCCCCTCTGCACCTTCCTCATCCACCTTTCTAGGTATGTGCTCCTGGGCATCACACCCATAACCACCTGCCGCCAACCTGCCACCACCCACCTGCCCCCACTTCCCCCCCACCCCACCGCAGATGCCTGTGTTGGACGGGTACGCAGCAACGCGGGCTATCAGAGAGGTGGAGAGGGGTGCAGAGGTGCACATTCCGGTGGTGGCGCTGACAGCCAATGCCATGGCAGGGGACCATCACAAGTGCCTCGATGCCGGCATGGATGGGTACCTCACTAAACCTATAGACAGCAAGCTACTAACAGAAACAGTGAAGAAGCTCTTAGGGGATCGGAGGAAGCACAAGTGAGAACTGTACTGGGGAAGCTGGAGTGGTTGAATCGGGAGTTCTTGTATTGTTGTACCGGTACTGTATGTATGTGCTCCTGTGTGTATAAATTATTGCTGTGTGGCTGTGTGCACTCAGGTAAGGGTTACTGATACTTACAACCTATTTGCTGATGATGGGTATAGCTCATTTCTAGGTCAGAATTCTTCACGCTGTAGAAAACCCTCTGAACCAACTACAGTAGTTTGTACCATATTCCAGCTCACAGCAAATTTGGGATGGATGGTTGGTGGGTGCACATAGATTTAGAGGCAATGCAAACAGTCATCACTGGAGATATACCACATATATAAGAGCAAAAACAAAATCAATCAAAGGCGAAAGGGTGCAATCATCTCAATCGTATTTGCCCAATGGGCCTAATGGTGGTCACCAGAGGCAGGTCAGACTCAGTTCACTTTCAGTTCAGTGTAAGCAAGCTGTGGAAAAATATGCTCTGAACCTCAATCCACCAGTCTGATCAGAGATCCCTGAACTGAAAAACGAACTAGGCGTGACCCACCCTATTTCAGTAAATAAGTTCCTCATACCAGAACCATCGCCCAAGCAGGATTCACAGCTGGAGATTTCACTCACTGCTTCACCCTCACAAAGCGATCCTCCGCCAATCGGGACTCGCTCCTTGGAGTTACCGCAGGCCGCTTCTTCCCATTCCTCGTCATTGACGGAAACCGCCACAGTCCCACACCCGGCGAAAATGCTTTAGGTGTCGCAAACGGGTAACCAGAGCCACCCTTCGGCGTAGCTCCCTTGGGCGTAAATCCCATGGGCGTGAACGCCTTAGGTGTGAATCCCTTACCGAAGGATAGCCCCCTAGGAGTCAACGCGCTGAACATGTCAGAAAACATGTCTTTAAAACCCCCGTCCCCATTTGGTGATCCGCTCTTTCCTTTACCCTCTCCGTGAATCCCGGCTCCCGACTTTTCTGCAGAGCTTTTGTCTGCAGGCGAGCCGTTTTCGGAACTGACATGTGGCGTGAAGATATCAGCCGAGTCTAGAACTTTGTGCATCCACGTGTAGCCGTGTCGTTGGCTAGGATGCTCCGGGACCTTGATGGTGACGTCATCATCCCCTTGCAGATACATAGGCTGCTCCAGATCCGCCGCCGAGAATCCCGAGGCGAGTGATGGCGTGGCGACAGCAGCAGCGGCCGCGCCGCCAATGGCGCCGCCAGTTGCGCCGCCATTTACGCCAGTATTTACGCCAGCATTTGGGCCGACAGTGTCAGTGGAAACCATTCGAGGACTGCGAGGAACTTTCCAGGTTCCCGCAGCTGCCGGAGCGCACTGAGACTCAGCCATGCTTATGTTCTCATAGCTCGCCGACGTTAACTTCTCGAACGCCATGCTGCTGTTACCGTTGCAAGCACCAGGTAGGTCCGTGGTGCTGCCGTGCTGCGACTGGAATCCCCCGAATTGCCCGCTCCCCTCCGCATCCATCGCGCCCGCGCCGTTCCCCGAGACGAACCTTCCCGAATCCTCCACCGAAGAGTCGACGAAAGCCTCCGATACAAGCTGCACCGATGCAGTCACGTCGTCGCTTCCAGATTTGTCGGACCGATCCCCGTCGTCGATTATAATCGCGTCCATCATCGTGTTTAGCAGCAAGCGCTCCTCGTCATCAGCACATCCGTGATTATCACCACCGGTCGTGCCACTCTCAACCTCGTCTTTCGCGAGAAGAAGATCGACGAACCGCTCCGCGTCGCCGCCACCCATCGCCGCGGCAGAAGCCGCCGCGCCTGGTGCAGACATTTTCTTCGCTTGAATCACACTGTTAACAGTATCGTAATCGTCCGTCACGATTTGTCCCTTCGCCATAGTCACATGCTCCGCGAAGGCGCCGAGCGTCAGCGACGGTGCGGGCGACATCGGTCGTGAGACCGTCGCGGCGCTCACGTTCGGCGAAGCCGGCGCGAATGACGGCGGGTTACGCGGCGCGTTTGGCGGGGCGACGTTGCCCTTGATGAAGACACGGCACAACACCAACGCCGCGAGGTCGCTTCCGGTTTCCACCTCTAGCCGATACTCGTCCATAATCCAGTCCGTCTTAGATCCCTTGTGGTCGCTCGGTCCAGATTTCGAGTAGTACACTAATTTCTTCTTCATTCCCGTTACGCCGCCGTCTGAAGGGGCCTTTTGGCCGTTGTTGCTGCTGCTCTTACTCCCACCGAGGCGCACCGCGTGGTCGTTTCCCGTGGATTTCCAGAACCCGACGACCGTCTCGCCGCATTTCACGGAGCGTTCTTTCTTCGAGCCGTGCTGCGACGGGCGGTAGAAGAAGAACCATTCGCCGTCGAAGCACGCGTCGGAAGGCAGGCTGCTCGGGTCGCACCGCAAAACGTTAACCTCGGGCAGCTGAAGGAGTGGACGCGCAGCGTAAGCTTGCCCGGATGTGCGGTTTAGGAGGTAAGAGAAAACGAGTTCTTCTTCCGACGGCCGAAAACGGTAACCGACTGGGAGGGAGTGTAACAGCGGTGAAGCTGCCATTCTCACACCGAGGTTGGGATCGACACAATCTGTTCAGAATGCCCCAACTACGACTTAGTACCACACTGCAACGTGAGCAGCGTTTAGTGCACGCGAGAATTATACGGTTTTCAAAAACTCAACGTTGAGTGCGGAGATGACGTAAGTTGAATGGAATCTGTGGATAGGGGAGCAGGCACGTTGAATCAGTTGTGTAGGCGCGTTTGCTCCTGCTTTTAGCTATCACAAGAGGCAGCAGGCGTGGTTGACACTCGTTAGAGGCAGCTCTCATCTCCTCTCGTGCAGGGAAGAGTGGGTAAAGTAGAAGTGGGGGAGAAGGAGCCATGGTGATGGTGGTGCAGTCCGCTTCAGGTCACCCGCAGGAGCTAGGAAAGGGGAACTTGTGTGGTGCTTGTGCCCCTGGCTGGCTGGCTTCGGTTCGGACCGAGGCCCGAGGGGCTTGTGTGGTGTAGTCATGCAGGGCAGGGCTTGTGCCGAGCTGGGCAGGGCTGGTAGGGAGAACCCCGCATTCCTGGTGGTGCTACAAAACAAGCAGCAGACACGTGGTCCGAATACCGAACCAAAATGCGGCAGGGCCAAGGTAAGGAGGAGCCTAGATTTGTGTGGAGGGAGCTAGTGAGCAGCCCACAAGTGGACTACAGCAGGGGACTACCCTCCGCAAACATGCGGTTTATGTTCGAGAGACGGCTGACAGAGCGGCGGGTGTGGGCGTGGGGAGGGGAGAAACGGCGGGATGAAGCCCAGGGGGGAGAGAGATAATACTGTACAGTACTGGCTGACGAATCCAATGTCGGAAAGGAACAAGATTCATTGACTGTGAATCGTCAGCTGTCTGATTGAGGCTTCACAATTGGCGTGCTCTTATTCGAGGATGTGGTGTGTGGAACCAGCGTGCAGGGTGGGCTGTCTCGGGGCGTGTTCTTAGATGGTGTCTAGCTTCGGGCCAAGCTGCTGACACGAGGTGAAATTGACGGGCATGAGGGAATTTTTCGACTTGTGTCAGACGTTCCTAGAGGGGTCTGACACAAGGCAACTTGACCCGAAGCTAGACACCAGCCAAGAACGCACCCTCATGCTGACCAAAATCAATTAGATCGCCTTCCTGGGCTGTCCGAAGTTCGAAGTTCCGACAGCGAAAGTGCACTCGGCACGTGCAGGTGAGTACAAGTCATTGTGATGAGGTGGAAGGCAACGAATCTGGACATCGAGGGAGTTCACAGACCCTGAACGTGCGAAGACCCCCCACGATGAGACCATTTGACGTGTGGCGAGAATCTGTTGAGGGTTTCGGGTTGCGAACGCTGACTGTAAATTGAGTCGCGCATGCAAATCTGATTGGGCGTTAGGTTTCGCATACTCCTAACGATCACAAACATCAGAATCGGCTTGCACATGGGGTAGACGTGGAAGCTGCCAGCGTGGACAAAAAAATCTGCACTTTTGGGGCTGTCCCAGTCCAGACATCGCAGGAAGGCGACCTTACTCTACTGTATGGATGACATGGAATTCCGGCCAGCTTACGCATTTAGGGTGTTGGAAATATGGAAGTGAGTAAGGAAATTCCCTTATCCTTACGTCGCGTCCCTGCTCAAC